ATTTAAGCAAAGTACTTGATTGGCGGCAAGGTCTCATCAATACACAGTTAAATTGACTAGATGTAACCATAAGCATTAAGTTATTTTCGGGGGGAAGTGTATCTCAGCTCTGACATCTGGAGGTTGACCTTTGGGGTCAGATGTAAGATATAATAAGTCAATTTTGATTGGCTGAGCTAGTGTGGGAATGATAGATAAAGGTTTTTCAGTGAGTTGTTTCTTGACCATCAAGAGATGTAGACATGTTTTCTTTTGTGTCTGAAATGGCTCACCAGTGGTGACTCCAAACTGGATGGTTAGTAAATGTCAGCATTAATAAAAATAGAGAAGTTAAAATTCTCTGTATTGGAGCCCTTTCATTGTCAAACTGAAACAATTGTGATCTCCGGCCAAGAGAAAAGGCCAAGCTGAGATCATTCACTGCTGTCAACGTGCAACATCAATTCTATGCTAACAGTTTCATTTCTCATACTTTTCACTTGTGGAACTCTCTTCTGGCTCCATGTTTTCTAACCAACTTTGATCTTCAAAATTCTAAAATGCATTGCAAATTGATATCTACTGTCTTCTTGATTATTTTTCTTTTGTTCTTGCTTCTTAATAATGTTTCACTTATTTTTTCACACTCATCAATGCTCTCCACCCCTTGGTGTCTTAGTGGTTTTACTGCCTTGTATGGGGTAAAATGATTAAATTAAAATGCCATCACCCTTCAAGACAGAAGTGATCATAGATCTCCACAGATTACCTTTCTCGATTATTTTTAAATTGCTTTGATTTATTGGGAAAGATAGTGAATGTCCCTTCTCCATGAACATTAGTGTGAAATTGAATACAACAGACTCAGCTGGAATTTGAACATGGCTTGCCAATTTCACTTTCTGAATTAATAACTGTTTTGCTACCCTGTATGGAGTGGGGTGGTGTGTATCACAGTTGGCTACCCTGGATGGGGTGTTGCAGTAGGTATCATGGGTTGCTACCCTGGATGGGGGTGTTGTGGTGGGTAACATGGATTACTACCCTGGATGCGGGTGTTGTGGTGGGTATCATGGATTGCTACCCTAGATGGGGTGTTGTGATGGGTATCATGGATTGCTACCTTAGATGGGGTGTTGTGATGGGTATCATGGATTGCTACCCTGGATGGGGTGTTGTGGGTTTCATGAGTTGCTACTCTGGATGGGGTGTTGTGGTGGGTATCATGGGTTGCTACACTGGATGGGGTGTTGTGGTGGGTATCATGGGTTGCTACCCTGGAGGGGGTGTTGTGGTGGGTATCAGCTCAGAATGAGAAATTGGAGAGCCCATTGGTGTTCATTGCATTCACTTACATACAAATACCCTTGGGAAAGGCATCAATTCATCTCTTCTCCCACCAGCTATAGGTTAAACAGCAGGACAGACTGGCTCCTAGAACTTTGGTTGGCAACCAGTCTACTGCAGAAAGAAATGGCAACCTGCTGCAGGAAAGTCTTATGCTTAGTCATGAATTGTAAAGTGATATGATCATCCAAGCATGTATCACATATGGCACTTAACTGACTGGCGATCCCCTCAAATTCTTAAGTTATAGAATATTAAAAAAAAATCAGTAAAAAATGAAAACTTAATGAACCTCAGAAAAATCAAAACAAAGACAATAATTATTTACATTATTCGGACTATTGTCCTCATCTTTGTCGCCATATTTATCACAACGCTTTGGCGTTTATGCGCTCAACCTTCTTCAGGTGGTTGGAATGTTGAACTGAACCCTTTACTTAGCTCACGGGGTAGACTGTTCTAGTTCCACGTGCCATGTTTAATGAATGTCAGTTATCAGTTATCTCCTGTTAATATCCTCAAGGACACATGGCACAGTGGATAAAGGCGTTGGTTAGATCCAGTGACAGGACCCAAAGAGTGTGAGTTCAATACCCGGTTAAGGCAGTGGAGAACTTTCAGAGGGAAATTAACAGGAGATAACTGATAACTGACATTCATTAAACATGGCACGTGGAACTAGAACAGTCTACCCCGGTGAGCGAAATAAAGGGTTCAGTTCGACATTCCAAACCACCTGAAGAAGGCGGAGTGTACAACGCCAAAACGTTGTGATAAATATGGCGACAAAGATGAGGACAATAGTCCAAATAATGTAAATAATGTACATAATACCTCATCTCAGAAATATAGACAGATTCTGATTTATTATAAACAGAGCATTTACTTAAATATTTGTATCTATAAAAAGAATGCATAAACATAAAAAATGTCTTAAAATAATTGTTGGACTTTGTTCTTTTCATAATAAATTATGTAGAAATTGCCCAAAAGGTTCTATGTCTCAGCGGTTTTGGCTATACTTTTAGCCATTATTAAGGATGATTTTATTTTTACTTTTAACTGAATGTATGGATTGCTTTATGTATGTATCTAAAGTTATAAAATTAACATTCAGTTAAAAATAAAAATAAAATCATCCTTGATAATGGTTAAATGTATATCTGAAAGCGCTCAGGCATATAGAACATTCAGACAATTTCTACAAAATTGATGTCCAGAAAAGAAGAAAATTATAAGAACACAAGAAAAATTAAATAAAATACTTAATTGCAGTGCCTTGTCAATCATTTTCTAATGAAATCTGTATAAAAGACAGATTGCTACCCAAATACACTATATATAGATATATATAAATATATATATAGTGATAAATTTCATATAAAAAAATACTGAATATTTGATATAGAATTTCAGAATATTAAAATTACATCTTTATTGAATCATTTATGAAAAATAATAAACTAAAAATAAATTTCTGCAATTTGAATAATTCAGAGCAATTCTTTCATTTTGAATAAGTCAACAAGAAAAAAAAAATTTCAAAGAATTTATCCAAACTTTTTGAAAAACAGTGAAGACTAAAATCACTTCAATTAATAAAGGAAAAAAAATACAAAAAACATTTTATAATGTGGTAGAGACACAGGCAAAAGAATTCAGAATTAATTTAGTACTAAAATTGGAAGACAAACATATAATAGGGACTAGCAACAATGTTCGTGTTAACCACATCGCTACTTGGAAGATAGTAAAGCCAGGGATATGTACGCCTCAAGTATTAGAACATATTGAATTAGTCAACAAGAAAAAAAAAGAATTTCAAAGAATTTATCCACTAGGTTGGCATCACAGTCCCAGCCTTTCACTGTTGAAATGGTTAAATGTAGCCATCTCATCTATTCCAATAGCTTCATGTCTCACACTTCCCATCTGTGGAACTCCCTTCCTCTTACTTGCTTCTCCAGCTATTCAAATGCAATGTCAATCGACATCTCAAGATGCCTTGATCTATTCCCCATCCTTCTCTTCATCTTTTCCTTTTTCACACCTCTTTACTCTTGCTCCCACTCTCTGTAACCCCTTGTGTGCTAGTGGCACTCTCATCTTGCTTGGGGTGAAAAGCTTAAAGAAAAAAGAAAAAACAACAAAAGTACTACATTCTTACTTGATCATAGAGATGCAAACGACTTGTAAACTGACTGCAGCAAAACATCAATTTATCATATTTGATAGTGCCTTCTAAATTAACATTTTGGTTGTCATTCACCACATGATTGACGTTAAGTTCTGCAATGAAAAAAATTTGAAACAAAATCATTTTAAATGGAAAGAAATCAAAGGCTTATTTAGAAGTTAGAACTGAAGAAATTTAAGATTTTAATGTATAAAAACTTTAATGTTAGTGCATGTATACGAAATGACCTTCCATGTGCAGTGGTCAGAATTAACAGCTTTTAGGAAAAAGAAACAAAGTAACTGGAAAAAAAAGGTACAAAGCATGACTGAGGACAAAATCAACAAAACTGGTACCGGTTATGGATTCATTTTGATACGAATTATGAATAATTTAAATGAATAACTCTAAATACTGTTCAGCAAGTGGCATTGGAGTGGGCACAAAACTGTATAATTTTCAGTGGGAAGATGTTTAATTTTTTATTGAAATTAAGTGAGTTATCAGTATCGGTCTATATTTTTGAAATGGGGTATTATGTACACTATTTACATTGTTTGAACTATCATCCTCATCTTTGTTGCTATATTTATCCCAATGTTTCAGCCATTGTATGCTCAAGCCTTCTTCAGTTGGTTGGAATGTTGAACTGGACCCTTTATTTCACTCGCTGGGGTAGACTGTTCTAGTTCCATGTGCCATGTCTAATAGATATCAGTTATCTCCTGTTAATTCCCCTCTCCAAGTTCTCCACTACCTTAACCGGGTATTGAACTCACACTCTTTGGGTCCTCTCACTAGATCTAACCAACGCCTTTATCAACTGTGCCATGAGTCCTTGAGGACACATGGCACAGGGTTCAGGTCAACATTCCAACTACCTGAAGAAGGCCAGAGCGTACAATGGACAAAATGTGATAAATATGGTGACTTCTAGGAATTGCCATGACTTCTTGGGAAAGATAGAGGAGTTGTTTTTTGTTCCCTCTCCATGAATTTAAATTCAGAGTAGTTCTTCTTTTAGACTGGATGCTAATCAAGGCTAGAGAGCTTTTTTTTTAATGCTGTGTTCTTTTGTGATTTGGATGATCATGGCTCATCACAGATTAATTTCCTTTTCGTTAATTGCCATGACTTCTAGGGAAAAATAGTAGAGTGGTTTCCCATCTATTTTACACATAGCTAGAGGGGAGAGATGGATACATACCTTTCCCAAGCACATAAGTGAATGTAATGAACTCGACTGGAATTCAAACTAGATATGATTACTGTTTGAAATATACAACTTAAGATACTGTTGAGAATACAGTGTGAGACAAAAATGTCATGTAATTTAGAAGAATTGTAGCATGATGGACAAACAGATATTTCATACAATTCCCACCAGATATCAAGGAAGCTGGGTTCACTAGGTGGTTGACATTTTTTTCTTTTTTTAATCAATTCACTCCCAAGAAAGGTGATAATGGCACTAAGATGCAATGAGCTACTGGGAGTGTAAGAGAAAGAGAATATTTTAGAAGGAACCAGAAAACCAGACTAAACAGGAAACAAGGGATAAAGCTCTACTCCTGTTCAAAAGACCTTGGACTAGTCACAACTTCTGAGTTGGGAAGCATATAACCTCACCTGCATCTGGTTTTCAGGCATGAAATAGATTTTTTTTAATACACATGTTTATATAAACAAGTGCCCCAGGTAGTCTCTCACACAGCAGGTAGAGAATGTAAGATTCACATATCAAAGGTGCTCTTCATATGCACATTGGCAAAGAGTAACTGACAAAGTATTAAAGTAAATAAAATGTTAGGCAATGAAGATTCAAGTTTAGTGTTATCCTTTAATTACCACTCTCCCTACTTTATTACAGAAATACTTCATGTCATTTGTTATTAAGGAAGAAGAATATAAGAAAACAAAAACATTTTTTACCAGGTATATTTGTAGAATGTTTTGACTCTACAGCATCAGGATATAGTGATTTGTCAAAATGACAAGTTTCTTTTTCATCCAAAGAAATCTTTGGATAAGAATCAGCATTATTAATTGTTTCTTCTTTGAAGTCTTGATTAATATCAAGAGAATTTTCTGTTATATTTTGTTCATTCACTGATAATTCTGCTTTACTTGGCGAATCAAATTCTTCAGCATTATCACTCAAGTTTTCATTGAAGTCACAATAGTTAATATCAAGAGAATTTTCTGTTATATTTTGTTCATTCACTGATAATTCACAATCAAATTTTTCATTGCATTCACTCAAGTTTTCATTGAAGTCACAATAGTTAATATCAAGAGAATTTTCTGTTATATTTTGTTCATTCACTGATAATTCTGCTTTACTGGGTGAATCAAATCCTTCAGCATTATCACTCAAGTCTTCACTGAAGTTACAATGATTAATATCAAAGAAATTTTCTTCATTCATTGATAATTCAGTTCTATCAGGTGAATTTAATCTTTTATGTGTTGGCAAAATTGGAGAATATTTAAGATTATCTTTCCAAGTTTTACGAAAAGTAAATTTATGTTTAGATTTCATGCTTCGTGGTGTTATTTCTTGATCATTTAGATCTGTACAACGAATGGGGGTACTGATTTCATTAAAACTTTGATCACATTTTGTAGGTGAGGGATTTTTATTTTCTGATTTTGATATTGGTAGTTCATGATGTTCCTCATTAAAATGTCTTTTTCCAATTTCACATACTTCACAAACCATAAGATCTTTATGATTTAAAAATGTACAAACAGGACAATTCCATTTTGTGCTGTGAGGCAAATCTTTCTTATTTTCTTTTGTAAACTTGCGATTTTGCTTCGATTTCGATTTCTTTAAATTTGAGGAGTTTTTGAAAAATTCTAATTTTAAGGATTTAGATTCAACTTCATGTTTATCGTTGGCTTTGGATGCGTCCAATTTGATTTCTGTTTTTGATGATGTCAATTTTGTAAATTCTGATTCTTCTGAAAAGTTTTGAAAAGAGTCAGACACTATGCCACTAGAAAGTTTAATCTTCTTACAAGGAGATTCTCTGAAAGTTGAGCAATCATTTGAGTCATTTAACCTCTTTTGCTGATTGAAGCTTTTAGAAGTACTTTTCCTTTTTTCTTTATTTGTTGTTGAGTTTAATGAATTAATTTCCAAAGAATCTTCATTAACGTTCAATATTGGTTTTTTGTCACTGTTCAATGTGAGGTTATCAGATTCAGATGGCTGGAAAAACTGCAAAATTGACCTTTGGTTCGAAGTGTCCTAAAATAATAAAATAGCAAAGAAATTTTTAATAATTATTAGTTTTGAAAATAACAAGAAAAGCATTTTACTAAATGTGGTAATAAATTGTGGGAAAGAAATTGAAACTGTGGCCTTTTTTGTAGTTTATAAAATAGAATAGCAAATCATTAAAAAACGATCCGTCATTGAAGTTGATCTCAATAAATAGAATATGATGATAAATCTGTATTATTGATATTAAAAGAAAATTAATATTCACCTAATACAATACTCAAGAGCAACTCAAGATAGAGTTATGGAATTAGCTGTTGAATACGTTTATTGAATGATGTGCGTGATATGAATGTAGGAGGAGGAAATTGTAAGTGAGGAGTATGGAGAAGAGATAATGATGGACCTTGACTTGAAGAGTTTAAGATTGCAGTGATCTGGGAAGCATCCACGCGGGAGCCAATTCCACTAAGTAGCCGTTCTTGAGAAGAAGCTGAGTGGAACTTACTTCTTATATTTGAGAAACGAAGATGATTCAACTCCATAACTGTAAAGGTCTAACTAGCAGAACTAAAGAATGTAACTTCGGAGGACATTTACCATGAAAATAGCAATAAAATAGAGAAAGGCTCAGATGTAAAGGTCTGAACTGGTGGAACTAAAGAATGTAGCTTTGCAGGATATTTACCATGAAAATAGCAATATAGAAAATCTCAGCTGTAAAGGTCTAACTGGTGGAACTAAAGAATGTAGCTTTGCAGGACATTTACCATGAAAATAGCAATAAAATATAGAAAAGCTCAGCTCTAAAGGTCTAACTGGTGGAACTAAAGAATGTAACTTCGGAGAACATTTACCATGAAAATAGCGATAAAATAGAGAAAGGCTCAGATGTAAAGGTCTGAACTGGTGGAACTAAAGAATGTAGCTTTGCAGGATATTTACCATGAAAATAGCAATATAGAAAATCTCAGCTGTAAAGGTCTAACTGGTGGAACTAAAGAATGTAGCTTTGCAGGACATTTACCATGAAAATAGCAATAAAATATAGAAAAGCTCAGCTCTAAAGGTCTAACTGGTGGAACTAAAGAACGTAACTTCGGAGAACATTTACCATGAAAATAGCGATAAAAGAGAAAGGCTCAGATGTAAAGGTCTGAACTGGTGGAACTAAAGAATGTAGCTTTGCAGGATATTTACCATGAAAATAGCAATATAGAAAATCTCAGCTGTAAAGGTCTAACTGGTGGAACTAAAGAATGTAGCTTTGCAGGACATTTACCATGAAAATAGCAATAAAATATAGAAAAGCTCAGCTCTAAAGGTCTAACTGGTGGAACTAAAGAACGTAACTTCGGAGAACATTTACCATGAAAATAGCGATAAAATAGAGAAAGGCTCAGATGTAAAGGTCTGAACTGGTGGAACTAAAGAATGTAGCTTCGCAGGACATTTACCATGAAAATAGTGATTAATTTTCAAAACAGACTTGTGGGAAAAAAATTTATAATGAAAAAATCATTGTATTGGAGTAATCCAACTTTATTTGATGACACAAGGAATTGTTACAACCAGAGACTTCTGTTATTAAATATCCCACATTGTGATAATAGATCTGCCAAGAATGGTGAAATGTAAGAACCTGGATGCAAATTTACTGTTGATGATTTAGTGATTAAAGCACTTTCTAAACATCTTCAGTTTAGTAAATTGTTTTCTCTTTTAATTAGAGTAGTATTTTTTAAAATCAAAATTGTGGCCAGTCTCATTACAGTGGGCATTGTACTGTTTTGTAAAATACTCCTTTTGTGTTCCTATAATATTTTATTTAGATTCCTTGAAGTTTCTCCTATGTATTTTTTGTGACAATTATTACAGGCAATCAAGTAACTTCCAAGTCAAGTTTTGGCTTACTGTTTTGTTTAGTACTGACTAAGTTTTTATTGTTTCAGATGTAATAGTAAGAAATTTTATGTTGAGTTTAGATAAGTTCTTTTCAATTGTAGATGTGATAGAGTTTGTTGGTAGGACAATATCTTTTTTTATTTATGGTGTTTGTCAGGATGAGCCGTTTTTCTATTTTGGAATATTTTATGAGCCTTTTGTTTCGCATTGGCTATAAAATAATTAGTGTACTGAAGAACTGAAGTACTGAAGATGGCTGCAAATTCTGAGTGCTCTTAAGTAGAATCTAATGATTATACCAGATTTTATTTTGTTGTTATGATGAGAATAGAAATTTATTAGATCGTTTTTATTGGCTGATTTCTGGTGGACACCAAGTTTTAAACTATTGCCAATGTGGTGTAGCATGATATCTAGGAAAGATAAAGAATTGTATTTAAATGTCTAGGAAGTGCCTTTGATTGCAAAAATTTGCACCCAGGTTTTTACATTTCACCATTCCTGGCAAATCTTCTATTATCACAGTGTGGGGTATTTACTAACAAAAGTTATGGAAAGAAAAAGGAAAAGCATTTAAATAAAACCAGCTAGATTATAAAAATAAAAAATAAAAAAAAAAATAAAATTCCCAGCAGCCCTCATTCATGCACATGTGTAGTTGCACCATATAACAAATCTAGCCTAATGAAGTCCTAAAGGACAAAACACACCTCATGAAAACTTTTTTTCACTTTATTATACATTTTTATATATATATATATATATATATATATATATATATATATAAACTTATTAATTTATAATTGGTATAGGTTGAATCCCTTGATTAGTAAAAATGTTCCTTGCCTAATGTTAAATGCAGAAATTTAGTAGCAATATTATAAAGTTGTTAAGTGTTTCTAACAAAACTGGTAATGTCTATACCAAGTTAATTCCCCAAATATAATTCCTATCAAAATATTTCTAGTTCACACAGCTTACTTTAACTATTGTAATATATAATGACTTGAGTGTCATAATCAAAGATCAAAGAAAAACCTAATCAAAAGTAAAATACTTTTGCCTAAAAAAATGAAGCAACTCATAGATTGTTCATAAAATATTTTTACCTGTGGTTGTAACATTGAACTTATGTCAACTGGATCCAGACACTTATTTGGATCCCACACATCTGCATTGGAAAGGATGTCAATCTGATCCTGATTTCCCTTCTCAGCATCCAATTTTTTACGCTGACCATCCAAAATAGTTGAAACCACACCTGTCTATTGAAATATAAGAATTAAAATAAAAACAAAAAAAAAAATTAGAAAAAACTTCCATGAATGTTGCCAACTAAGACACCATTATTCTTGCAAATTATATAATGAATTTTTAATGTAAATGATGTTTTTAGTTTCTTTTTAAAAGAATCAGTAATCAACCTTTATGCTTAATATAAAAAATTAATATTCACAACTCAAAAATAATCTTTTTTTACACATACGCACACACAAATATAGTAAAGGTAATAAATCCATTGGTATATAATCCAAGTGGATCATAATAATATAAAATATTAAAACTGATCTACAAAAAGAGCTCAATGTATTTATTATACAAAGCAAATAAATAGTAGTAAACCATAAAATCCAAAATTACCTCATATAGGGGATAGATCTATTTCAATCAACGAAAACTTTGTCTTATTCAACCCCAGTATACAGACAGTGTTCATGTCAGAATTAGAAATTTAACTGACAGCATTTGAAAAATTGATACATAATTTATCCATTTCAATGTTTCAGTCAGACGAAATGCACAAGATGGTGGTCGGGGGAGGGTGAAAGGTATTAAAGGGAAGAAGTTTTATAAAATTAAATCCGGATATGGATATTTATGACATTAAGTTGGGGGTTATATGAAGAATGAAGTGTTAATCTGAAACTAAGAGAGGAACAAAAAGGGTTTTTTTAATAAAATTATATAGATAAGGTTAAGTTTAAAAAATACAAGTTCCTACTTAAAAACACACTTCCAAAGATAAATTATACTTAAAAGTAAAATATATTTTATAAATTAAAAATAAGTTATATTTAGAAAATTTAGATTATATTTTTTAAAAAATTATAATTAAAAAAAAAAATACCTAAAATATATAAAGAAAAGGGAGTTCTTAGAACAGGGGACAATTAGAAGATATAATTAATATGGTGTAAAAATTAGAATTAGTTATACATTCAGCATTTGAAGAGTTAGAAAATATAGTAGCTAATAAAGTAAAGTAAATATAGTAGCTAATTAAGTAAGTACTAAGTTTAGTACTGCACTTAAATTCATAAAGTCTAAGTACTATAGTGAAAAGCTGATCTAGCAAAGGATTCAATATAGTCTTTCCATTTCATGTCTGCTGAGAACCTTAGCCCAAGAAGGTGCAATGAGTCACTTTCCTGGAGGGGGTCTCTCAGATGATTAATGGAGAGAGGTTTTGGAGGTGATAAAATTAACAGGCCATCTTTTGCCCCAGTTTACAATGGACTTGAGGTCGTTTTGGATATTGGCTGCCATTTTGAGCTTATTGGACTGATAAAGTATTTCTATCAAAGCAGGAGTAAATGGTTGTGCCATCAGCATAGATACCAAGTTGAGAGCTGATGTCATTGGAAGAGCATTGATGAAAATTAAAAACAGAGGAGGCCAAGGATGAAGCTCTGGGGAATACCCATGTTAGTATGAAAGAATGTAGAAAAGTGGCCATTCAGGGTAATTTTCATTTAACGATTTTGTAGGAAGGACTGGATCAGTTAAAAAATGTGTCCAGAGACATTGTAACTTTTCAGCGTGTGAAGAAGACCTGTACACAGACCCTGTCAAAGGCTTTCAAGTTGGCCAAGGCTCAGGCTTCACTATTCTATTTTTATCTATTTAGCATGATAGACTCTTCCTGAAATTATTGTCAGTACATCAGCAGTTGACCTGAAGAAATGAAAGCTATATTGCTTGTCTGAGAAAAGGCCTTGGCATTGATTTGAGTCAAAAAGAAGGTTGATAGTTGAAATGATTGGATGGTTCACCAGAATTATTAAAAACTGGAACAACAGATGATGACTTTACATACACTCTATCCCTGATATTGAGCACCTTAAACCATAAATATAGCAAACCTTAAAACTATATATATATATATATATATATATATATATATATATATATGACAATTTAAATTTTAAAATTTGGTGTACTTATGGGGGAAGAGTAGTCAGTATCAAGGATAGACGTTTTTAGATATAGGTAGTATGGATATAGAAATCTTCAAATCATGTTGTGAAGAACAGTTGAGGAGTGAAACTGAAAAACTGACTTTCCCAACCAGTGTTGATCTCTATGTTCACACTACTGAAAAATAAATTTCAGTTGAGCTCTCTGGGGAAGAGGTGTGGGTTTGTAAACAGTGACTATTATAGCTAATATAGCGAGACTCTTCACAAAAAGCGAATTGAGTCACTGTTACTGTGTGTGTTTCTAAAAATAAAAATACGCTAAAATTCACCTTCATCCTTGCACCGACGGCTTAGTGGTAGAATCTCCGACTGATGCTAATTCAGTCAGGTTTCGATCCTAGCTAGAGGCAACCAGATGTCTAGCCACACTGATGAGCTGTGAAACAGCGAAACAGTCTGTCTGTGGATGACGTTATATATATATATATATATATATATATATATATATCACTTCTAAGTGGTGATTTAGCTTGTTTGCTCTTAGAATTTCTTAAATAGGGTCCTTTTTAAAGTATTTTATCTAAACAATCAACGTATTTTATATATATATATATATATATATATATATATATATATATATATATATATATATATATAAAATGTTTTAAAATGGAGACGACACGCTTTTAACGGATGTTAGATTTCATTGAAAAATGCATCCCTACCCACTACCAAAACGTAGCAATAACTGATACATTAAAATATAGACACCGAGGCAACCCTCGTCTAGTAAATTGGATTCATCTGTAACCTTGGAAACATGAATTATGATTTTAGCTGTGTCTTTAAAACCCAGTAATTTTAAAAGTTACTCCAAAATTCATTTGAGGATGAAATGGAACTAATGTCTTTAATTTAATTACAAAATTAAATTCAGGCCTTTTAGCTTCCATTTTTGAAACATGGTTAGAACTGTGTAGCAAAAAAAACATATTTTAAATCAATTAATTTATAATATATATATATATATATATATATATATATATATATATATATATATATATATATATATTCAGTATATAATGCCAGTAAATTTAAGTCCACAAAAGCCACTTTTGCAGTTATTTGCATTTGGAAAAGAAACAATAAATTTAAAAGGCACAAAATGTTTATTCTTTTTAGTGCGTGTGTGTGCCACTCCAAAAGTAATTCCTTCTATTTTACTATATTAACACATTATGTTTGAGGTAGATGTTGGCAGTATAGCATTAAAGGTTGAACATTCTCAACAAAAACCTAATTTTGGGGGTTTTAGCAGCCTGGTAAAGTGGTTTCCAACATGAAAGTGCATGCAAAGCAGTGTTTTACTGAATTTCTTCATGAAAAAAAAAAAAAAATGCACCTATTAACATCCAACAATGCTTGCTGAATGTTTAGAGATACCAAACAATAGATATGAACACACTTAGACAATAAATAATGCATTTGAGTAATGGTGACAATCCACTTTTATTTTGCACTCTGATGTAAAAAAGGTTGAAGAACATTGGTTATGGGGAAGATAGAATAGAATATGTATTTACAAACATGTCCATCTGCTAGGATAGCTAACTAATTCCTGTTGTAGATGCCTGCTCAGGCACATTTGTGTTTCTTTAACACTTACAAAGACAATTTTTGGTTTACTCTGAAACTATGCTGAGCTGACCAGAGTTACAGTTTCTGGAAGAGAGAGCATATTCTGGCAGGGTTAGTAGTTAAAGAAGGCCAGTGCACTCTAACCCTCAGTCACAATGATTTAATACCTCATGCTAACACAATCATTGAAAGCTTCTGAACAGTTTTATCTATTTTTACCCACAATGATTGAGTTAACTTGTGGCAAGGTTTTCAGGCAATTAATGACACACTGGGATGATCTCCCCTTGACGATATTATTAAGAAATCACTTCCTTGACAAATCATCCATAGTACAATTGAAACACTAATAATTCTAATAATTTGGCCACACACCAATTGTGCATTGTAATGGTTATTGGTGTAGAAAGTGGTACTGGTGTGCAGTGTTCAAATTCCAACTGAATCTGTTTTGTTTATTTCGCACTAATTACCTTAGAAATGTAGGAATTCATTTTCCTCCAGCTTTGGGTTATATAGTAGGAAAAATTGAGCTCAGTCAGCCTAGGATGAAAACTCTGAATTCACCCCCCCCCCACCCACACACCAAGAAAATAATAGATCACAATAGGCTCTTTATTCTTGTTAGGGCAACCAGTGTATGAGAAGGAAAACTCTGAATTCAAAACAAACCTAAATGTGAATGGGCTCTGTCAAGATATGTTAGCTACAAACACTGCTGCTATATAAATAATGATAACTCCTAAACATAGACATTTAGACAGAAAAAATTTTATAGAATATTTTTAAGATAAAATTATTGAAATAGGATTTCTGGTTCAACGATATTATCAAAAATCAAAAGTTCAGGAGATATCTGACATGTTAGAATTAAACAAAAAGTTAATGGAAATTATCAAAGTGCTTGTGAATACATTTGATAAAAAATTCACGGTTTTGTTTTCTAAAAAAAAAAAAAAAAAAAAAAAAAAATCTTAACTTTAAAAAAAAGAACTAGATTACCTTTCTGTTTAAAATTGACCACATCCATTCATCCATTGAGCCTTTAGCAACTAAATAATGAACAGGTAAAGAGCTTGTTTGTCCAATTCGATGAGCTCTATCTTCACACTGAATCATTACTCCAGGAGTCCAGTACATTTCTGCAAACACCACCATCTTAGCTGCTGTAAATGTCAAGCCCTGTTGAATAAGAATTATTGTAATATAAGAAATAAAATAAAAAAAAATAAAATAAAAACCCTTAAAACTTCCTCACATATTCCATCCATGGTAATCTCATCATCCTTCTGTAGAACCTCACCTTTCATATTTTTTAACACTCAGAAACTTCTTGTGTCCTAGTGGCATTGGGATTAAAGGATTTAGAAAAAAAAGAGGCTTAAATATATTAATGATAGAAGAGACAAGATTAATTCTAGTGTTTTTCAGTCAACTGGTTTCATTAAGATTTATTAAGCTTATCTTGGGCTGAAACAAAACCATAGTATCATGTATACTGGGAGGAGTGAATTTGTTTGTCTCCTCTCTACTGTGTCCCTTCAGGACAAGGGCGAACATAGCTCTCCACAATTTCCTGCACTTTGTAACTCCTAATAAATTTTGTCTTTTTGCTATCTCTCCTAATCCCTGTTCTTCCACCTATTTACACAAGCTCATTAGGTAGGTTAGGCACTATTTTTCTCTGTCCAACCTGCCTTCAATGTCCTGTGAGTGCCAAATTTTCTAAGTTAATTTTTCTCATCATGTGCCCTAGAAATTTCAATTGCCCCTTTCTGATGCTAAGTATAGCTTCCCTTTTTGTTCTAATTTCCCTTAAAACTTCCTCATTGCTCACATATTCCATCCATGGTATTCTCATCATCCTTCTGTAGAACCACATCTTTGTTGCTTTAAACTCAAGTCTCTTCTTTGTGCAAAAATCTATTACTATCTAACAACAAAATATGCAGATAACACATGGTGATGCCATACAGAAAGAAACCTATGCTAACTCCTAGACAAGATAGTAAAGAAAAGCAAGAAAGGACTAATTATCAATTCTAAGAAGACAATGTATGGCTGTTACTAATTGGTGCAACTGCAAGCTATAAATTGTAAACATCAAAATCTTGATGTTTCTAATTTGTGGCTTGCATCTTGGGCTAGTACAGAAATTTAACTCATGGATTTTCATAACATGATGGAAAATGTAACACAGAAAACTGAAGATGCATTGGAATAGTAAAAGTTGTCTTCTAAAAGCTAAGCAGAGTATTAAGAAACATGAAAATTTTGCTAGAAATAAAGAGTAGCAAACTGGTATATAAAACCCAGTATAATAAAAATAGAAAAATAAAAAATGGTGGTTAATGGTTTAAAATTGCCCAGTATTATTTTATATACAAAATGAAGCAAGTCTCACTTATCTGAGTAACAATGTGCTGCGTTCAAATGAAGACTACTTGTAGGAAAAATAAAATGAAGATGAAGTGACTGGATTGAATAAACGTTTTTAAATATTTTAATAATTCTTTACCAATCTTTTAAAAAAATTGTTTAAATATTTTTTTCATTTTGCATAATTTTAAAAATCTAAAATACAATTTAACAAATTAAACTAAAAGGTTATGAATTCATTAACATTTTATATTTATTCTTATAATTTTTAAAATTTTGAATTCAGAGTTGTCTCTGACTAGATGTCATGCAAGGTTTGTTATTCAGTTAAACAAAAATGAATTCATGTCTTTCCCAAATCCATTAGTGCAAAATATATGAAACAGAATAAAGCAGATTTGAACATGGTTTACCAATTTGATTTTCTGCATTGCTAACCTTTAACAGATATATACTCTTAGGTAGGTTTATGAAAGTCATTGTTAATGGACCAGTTTTCTGAATTACAGGGAGGCATCCATCAAAGCTCTCTTCTCAGTCTCACCCTTATTATATAGATCTGCATAAGAACATTCTCAGATCATTAGTAAATATTTATGCAGATGATATCACAATTTATGAGTTCACTTCCAAAAAGCAAGATGATCAGGGCCTGGAAGCTGATCTCTTGTCTGATCTAGCTTGAACAGCTCATTGGAAGAAAAACTGGCTTGTAACTTTCAACACCTCCAAAATCAAGCTAATAAAATTTTATCACACAGAATTTACTTCAGTCTTGATGAATATTTGCTCTCTCAATGAGGCTTCTTGCTTTGAATGTCTTTTGAGACTCAAATTTAGCTCAAATTCCAAGAGGAAAGGATATATAGAAACCATTGCAAAAATGATCAGCTCCTTGTACTGCTGCAGAAAGTACCTGACTGTTTCTGACATGAGTTGGACCAGATAAAAGAATTGAGTTGCCTTATCTGGGCTGGAGCTACCCAGTCTTCACTTTCCAGCCTTGTTGGTCATGACTTATTTTCCACCATACCACCTCTTTCCACACAGATGAAATTCTGCAAGCCTATTGCTATTCTATCACTATTTCTCTGGCAGGCTCTATTCTTTAGTGCCACCAGCTCAGACCTGCCTTGCTAGATGCACAGGGTCGAATCCTGTCCATTCCCTACATATTCCTTTGCAAAGAAATGTTTCTTCCCAAGAACCCTTAATTTGTGGAACAGACTCCTGATGGATGTTTCCCTGAAAACTACAATCATAACCTCTTCAAATCTAGGGTTGACTGTATCCATCCTTGCAATCTTCATTTTCTTCTCCAACTTTATATCACACACTACATCCACTCTCTACCTTGACTTCCTCTTAAGCATTGCATTGGGTTATATATATATATATATATATATATATATATATATATATATATATATATATATATTTATATTTGGATATGAGTTTCAAGCTTTTGTGATAATCAAACTGCTTTATTTATTAAAATTTGATCTATTTATGCTTGTTTGACTATGTTTGGTGGTGGGAGGGGGAATTTACTTCTGTATTTGTTTGGGGTGACACTCTCATACACATAGACACACATACATACAGGTGTACATATTTTAGTTCACACAAACACATCCATATAAACAATCTGAGGCTAGGTGAAAATACACATCCATGTGTTGGGGCATATATATATATATATATATATATATAATAAAAAGGCTTAAACTAATATTCCATGGTCATAATTTATTCCATGTATATATATTTATATATTTTGCATATGTATGTGTATATTTACCACTAATATTATATATATATATATATATATATTTGGTTGGATAGATGTCAAACAAACTCACATCTATGCAACCAAATATGTTAGCTCTATCTCTGATATTGAGTGCTTTCTAATAAGTACCGCGCATATAATATATAAATAATTATACATATATATATTTATTTATATTTATATACACTTTTTCATATATATATATATATATATATATATATATATATATATATATATATATGTATGTATGTATGTAACTAATACAAATATATGTATGTATATAACTAATACAAATATAAAATATGTCACTTAGCTGATTGATGTTACCTTCAGCATCCCATAGACAGACCCCACCTCTGCAATCCCACCATTCACTCGTCAGGGAATATTAACAACTGACTTTATTTTCATGGTTTTATTTTATATTGAAGTTAAAAAATAATTTATGCACTTTTCATTGGTGCAAGATTGATTTTTTTCTTCTTTCATTGTATGTGCATGCACCTGCCTATACATATAGAATGTTGTGGTTATATATAAAATTTGTCACTTGTTACCTTCAGCATCCTAACTCCTTATTTGGTAAGTATTCTATGCAGGGTATTATCAATTGATTGATAGTTTTCAGATAATTGATATATAGGATTAACTATTTGTGAAATTATGTGATGTAAAAGTGAAACCTGTTTATTTGTTTTGTCATTCATATATATAAATAGCCAAAGCAAAACAGAATATTTTATGTGAAACAATTTTTATCATTTAGTTTGAAGTCTTTAAAATAATATCAATAGAGCAATAAATTTGTGTAATATAAATGTTATAAACAAACTACATTATACAATTAGAATGAAAATTTGAACATACTACTCCAGCTGCCAGTATACTCAAAACTGCAACACGGGTCTCGGAACCTGACTGAAATTCATTAACAAATGACTGCAAATAAAATAAATAAAGAAAATTGAAAGCAATTATATAAACAAATAAATATTTTGAACAAAAAAAAAATTTTAAAAGTCACTTAAATAATTGTTTTATTTTAATATTGTTTGTACAAGCTAAATGGTTAACATCCCATTGTTAGAAAAATAAATATTGCTCTGAAATTTTTAATGAGAATCCAGTTCATATTTTTTACTACATATATATCCCAAAATCTTATACAATTTTAAAACAAATAAATACCTTTTTCTTTATTTAATCATTAAAAAGAATGTTAATAAATATATCTTGTTCATTTACATGCTGCTGTGAAAACAGTTCTACTACCAAGAACGTCTTTACCTTTAAGATAAATCTGGAGTCAGGCATTTGAGAATGTCAAATTTAAAATCAAATTAATCTGTTCAATTGATCCTTCAAACTACTGTTTCTTATTAATTACTTCAATACTGCCTTTATTCAATATAAAGTTACTTCCTACTAATAGAATTTATATTTTAATTTTTTGCAAAGCTAATTGTCTCTAAGCTTAATTATTATTAAACTATTATCATTGATATGCCACTATGACTGATGGAGAAGAGTGCAGACTGTTCCTGCTTATTTCACTTGCTTATTAACACTCCCACTACTGCAGATATTATTAACCTAATATTACCTGCTGTTAACATATATATGATTTCAAGACTGTATAAATGTTGGTCCCTAGAATTTGTGTTACAAACTAACTAGCATTTAGTATCTATTTCCAAACCAGTATAGATATATAGCAGTGTACAATATCTGTTTTGTGCCATATTATTTATTAATTATTATTAATATATAGTTCTATATATTAAGTCTAGGCAACCTTCCCTCTGTAAGGAGAAGGAATAGCTGCTGGGTTTTAATGTAATCTGACCATGATTTATATTGCTGATTCTTGGGTAGCATATTTTTCTTCTTCTTTTTTAGTCATCTGCAAAATTTAGATGATTTGTCCTTGATTGAGCTCTGAAGAGTGAGGAATGGTAACTTTTTTGTTTCTTTTTGTTATATTTTTTGATTCAAAAATTTACAGGTAGTAATAATTTATTTATTATCCTTGCTCTTCTTCTCCTTTTGTTTTAATATATTATATTAAATATTATTATATTATTATATATTATGTGAATATGTACTTTTAAGATGTATGTTTTTTTAAAAACATAATAAAATAAATTTTACCCCTGATGGATTATTTAAATGTTTATTATAATTTCATTAAAATCATAAAATTTGATTATATTAATATAATTATATAAAATATTAAAATTTGGAGCTAGCTTTTCATTCAGTTAATTTACCAAATTATCTCAAAAGGTTAAAACTAGCATTAGATATTTGAAATACTCCCTCCCACCAAAAAAGAAGATATTTTATTGATGTAATAAAAAGTTAAACTTGTCTTACTTGTCGATCAGAAGGATGTGTCGTACCATCAATACGTATAAATTTTACTTTCACGTCCCACAAAGCTTGTGATATTCCATCCATCATATCATGGTGATAGGCAAAAATTAAGAACTTTAAATCATTATTAGTGCAGAGCATCTTAATATAATCTTGTACAGGTCCAATCTGCAATATCAAACATTTTAAATTTATTTAATTGAACATAACATTACATATTTTCAAGGAGATTTTATATTTTCAATAATTAAAACAAAAAAAATAAGAAAACTTAATGATTCGGGATAATATCCCTTAATTAGTATATACCAAACTTGGCTAGTCATCTGACAACTAACAACCAATCAGCAGAGCCCCATTTTTACAGAGACAGATATTTTGCGGACATCAGAAAGGAAAGATGTGATCCTGACTTGTGAGTAGAGACAGCTTTTGCAAAATTCTCTTTTTTTTTTTTTTTACAAAGTCAGATAGAAGGCATGTAATTCATTTTTATACTTTGTTGCTGTATTTTTATTTTGGAAAAAAAAAAAAAAAAAAACTATTTTTATTCTGATTTCTCTCTAGCCATCTTTTCTTTTTTCTTCATTATGACTGGGAAAATGTGTTTTGATTGCAAGATATTAACAAGGCTGCCCAACATTCATTTGATAACCCAATAAATAGAATTAAGCTTTATGACTATTAATTCAGAGATAACTAGAAAATTCATATTATAATTAATTTTATTATTTTAGTAAATTCTTAATGAAAGAGAACAGTTAATATTTATTACTTTCTTTTTAAAAGTATCTCAGCAAATATTTTTGAAAGATGTATAAAAAAACAAGGAAAGAAAAATTAAGCAAATTCTATACTTACCTTGGCTTCTCCACTAAGCTTATAAAGATTTTGAAAACTTTGAAGGATTTCAAAAGGTAAGTTTGATTCAGTGTCAGAATCATTTTCAAACACAGTGCCAACTTGCTTGCAATTACCTTTCATTGTTCTTAATTTAGGCTTTAGTTCTTGGAAGAGGCTAAAGATTTCCTACAAGACAAATTGTACAAAAATGTATTTTCATGAAAATTAAGATTATATAAATAATTTCAACTATATATATATATATATATATATATACACATGGCTGAGTGGTTAGAACGTTCGCATTCTGATCATGAGACCCGGGTTCAAATCTCACTATGTTTGATTTGTCAGGAAGGAGACTTCCTGATGTTAACGGACTGGAGGGGTTGATCACACTGTGCAGCACCTTTGGAAAGGTGCCTGAAAACCATACCACGGGTTGACCCAAGCCTTGTGAGTGAAACTGGGTAAACAGAACCCTTGGGGGGGGGGTCGATAGCTGTGTTAACATGAAGTCACAAGTCATTGTGTCCGAGGGCTTGAGCATGCTGGCCTTGTTCAAATTGTTGAGTACGATAGATAACATGCTCTTTCTAAGAAACTGTAACTAAATTCTGCTCAGCATAGTTGCAGTATAAGCCACAGGTGGGCTCTGTAAGTGTGCATGAGCAAGCGTCTGCAAGAGGGATTGGCTAGCCACCTTAGTAGACACACACACACACACACACACATATATATATATATATATTTGTTTTTTGTCACCATTTTCCTTAAAATTTTCTTATTGCTCACATGTTCTGTCCATGGCAATCTCAACATCCTTCTGTATGACAAAATTTTTATTACTTCAAGTTTCTTCTTTATCTCTGAGGAGATTGTGAAGCATTCACTGCCATAGAGGAGGATGAATATTACATAACAGTTTAGCACATTTTTCTTTGTTTTTAACAAAGTTTTCCTGTTTCTTAATACTTTGTTTAGCTTTTGGAAAATATATTTCACTATTCTAATGCACCTCAAGAAATAAATAGATGATTATAAATAATGGTAAAATACTGCATTTTCCTTTCCTATCCCCCCCGCCCCCAGTAGATGCCATATCCCTTCAGGATGTTGTCAATCATGACTTTTTGCAGATCATTTTACTTTATTATCTGTGAATTGCCATGCCTTCTTGAGAAAACAGTGAAGTGATTTCCTGTTGCTTTTTTTACAGTTTGGAATTTAGATTGTTCCTTCTCCTAGACTGGCTGCTACTCAAGGCTAAAGTGTCCAGTCTATTCTTGTATTTAATCCATAGGTGGAAGAAAGAGAACTGGATTCATGTCTTTCCCAAGAAGGAACATAATAGACTAGGCTGGAACTCAGCTCACTAAATAGGCATTAATATTATAGTGTATGTGAAACTAGGCAGCCTATAATTTGGGACTTTATAAGCAATGGACATATATGCCATATATGTAGACAGTGAAAGAAATGAAAAAGGAGTAGGACTAATACAAGATCAAGACATGAAGAAATGTGTTCTGGGTTGATGTCAATTCTTTGACAGAATTATTCTAATTAAGCTAATATATGAGTCAAGAGTACAAAGCATGGAAAAGGAAACTGACAAGTTTGATAGCGTAATTCCAAGACTAAATGCAAATCACAAGTAATTGCTATCATCATTGGAAGATCTAAATGATAAAGTAGGAAAGGAATGAGATGCTGAAGTAGTCAGCAAGTACAGACTAGGATTCTGTAATGAGTGTGAAGAAAAATGGATACAATGTTGCACAGTAAACAACCAAATAAAAATGAACAGCTGGTTTCATGAGCACCCAAGATGCTTATAAATATATAAAAGCCCAGGCAAAGATAGAGGACCAAATTGACTACATAATAAGCAGTAAGAAATTCAAGAATGTAGTTATGCAGAATAAGTACCAACTATTGGAGGGGCCATATTTCCATTTTTATGACATGGTTGTTGTATGCTTTTACTCTAATAGTCTTCAATTTGTTTTAAAAAAAGTTAAATGGTTATATTTTATCTTAGAAGGTAAGGTTTCATTAATTTTTTTTATATTTTCTTGTAATTAAAGTATCATATTGACTGCATAAAAATTAGTGAGATTTTACAATGTAGTTATGCATTGTAAGTGCCAATTGTCGGAGGGACAACATTCCATATTATGCAAAATTAAACTAAGAAAATTACGGAAATCCAAAGCAACAATGAAACTCCAATATGACAGACTTGAGGATCAATCAACTTGCAAACAGGTAGACAATTAAGAGAAAATTTAATAGCATAAATAAAACCAGAAATACAAAGTAGAATGCATTTCCTCTTTCAGAAGTTGCCCCTTCCATCCCTAATATAATTCCATCAGTAAGAATTTTATTTTAGTTTAGTCTGATGAAGTTCTTTTAAAGGATAAAACTCATTACATCAAATTTAAATTATTTTCCCACCTCCTATATATATATATATATATATATATATATATATATATATATATACACAAGTATACAATTGGTATATACAAAATGAATTCCAATAACCAACAATTACTATTCTTAAAAGAGTGCTCAATACAAAGTAGAGCAGATATAATTATTATTTATAAAAAAATTATAACATAGGTATGTTATAAAATCACTACAAAAATAGCCATTTTGTTTCAACACACTGTGTCTTATCAAGTGATGATGTTGAAAATAAAATAAATGCTTTTAAAAGTTTCAGATTAATTAACAATCCTACACTAGGGGGAAACAATGTTACAAAAGCTAGAATAACCAATCAAAAACCAAGTATAGAAAGATTCAAAAGCTAGACAACGAAATCATGTTATAATAGCTATTCAGATCTTTAAAATACGTGTACAGGGTTTCCACAGATCTATGTAAAAAAATAATTCCAGCACTATGTTCAGAAGTTTCAAGGACTGAAACTGACATATGTATATGCACACAAACTCTTGAAGTGAATAGTCATTAATTTCAAAAACAAAAACTGTGATTTATTTTTTAATAATTTGACTGATGAGATGTTCAAAGAAAAGCTACAACTGGTTCCAATAATACATGTCACATGGCTCAGTTGAGAGCAGTGAAGAAATCAAAGTGCTGAAGACTAAAACAACTGAATTTAGAACCAGTTATGTTACTGTCTATATTTCTGAGATGAAGTATTATGTACACTATTTACATTATTCAGACTAGTGTCCTCATTTTTGACACCATATTTATTACAATGTTTCGGCCGTTGTATGCTCTGGCCTTCTTCAGGTGGTTGGAATGTTGAACTGAACCCTTTATTTTGCTCACTGAGGTAGACTGTTCTAGTTCCACGTGCCATGTTTAATGGATGTCAGTTATATCCTGTTAATTCCCCTCTCTAAGTTCTCCACTGCCTTAACCAGGTATTGAAGTCACACTCTTTGGGTCCTGTCACTGGTTCTAACCAATGCCTTTATCCATTGTGCCATGTGTCCTTGAGGACATATGTGTATGAATTTCTGGTTTCTGGTGGATAAAGGCATTAGATCCAGTGACAGGACCCAAAGAGTGTGAGCTCTACTGCATTTGAATTACACACTTTAATTCTTATTGCTATGCATTTCCTGTGAAGTTAAGTATAGTGGTTTTAATGAACACAACTACAAATAAAAATTTTCACAAAAAAACTACATATTTTAGCTAACCCTACTACATATGGTTTTCATTGCACATGGCACAGAACACAATGATATTAACATTTTTTCAGATCATTTAGTTTAGCATTCAGCTCCTCTTCCAATTTTAATATCTCTATGGACTTGTCCTTTGCAGATCTTCACTTGCGATAAGTCTAAAGTTCTGAGTCTGCTCAGCTTTCTCGACAAAGCTAGCAGCTGACTTGAGCAAATCAAGCTTATATTTTTTGGTCTTCTTCAATTTCTATAAGCATTGATTTTCATTTTTGTCCAGCTGCTTCTTCTTGCCTCTGTATCTTCTCAGCCTCAAGGTATTGGTTGTCTGCTCTTCTGGCATTGGAAGCACTGCAGAGAAAAGTGTTAGTCATGGGAACATTCCTAGCACCTCCAACTGTGGCCAAATAGTCTGTGATAATGTGCTGTGTGACCAAAGTATGCTGTTTCATATTATCAGTAGAAATTTCTTTATTGACTGAGAAACCTCTGTCTATGAGAGAGTACTAGCAATAAGCAGACAATTTTTCCATAGTTTTTTATATTCTTTGTTGTTAAACAAAGAGTAGAACAAAATGTCCAGATAGTCTTCATGTCGGCTGAAATTCTTTTTAGACTCTTCTGTGGCAGATTTCTTTCTCACAATTGGGATCAGGGATTAGCCATGCAAGTGACACACTTCCTTTTTTGGATAAACTTTGTGTAACCCAAATATGTCAGAAATCCACACCTGATCATCCTTATGCATATTTGGGTTTGAAAAAATTCTTACAAATTCATTCAGTTTGGAAAATGTAATTATCTTTTATGTGTGCTCTTCCTTTACAAATCTTCTTAACAATTCCATGATCACGCTAAGAAGATCATCTACAAGGAAAGAAAGCAATGGTTTATCACTCAGATATTTTATCAGAAACTGTTCAATGTCTTTCAAAACATAAAAATCTGCAGTTTCACTGGAAATAAAACATCATTCACATTTGACAGCACCACAGCAAAGGATTTGGTCTGGGGACATTTGTTCTTTTTTAACTAAGTTCACAAATTTGAATTTGATGGTCAAATGTCTACAAGTTGTTTACATGTTTGTACATTTTCTAGCGGTCTATGGCAGAAATACAAAAGTAAATGGAAAAGTTTGCAGATTGAACTTTTAATATAAAGCCAAGTTATAAAAGCCAAATAAGTTTTAATGTATTTCATCATTTTTCCACATTTTCAACAAAAGCTAGAGATACAGTTTATTAGCCGGCAAACTTTAAAAATAAAATTCATATTTTTTTTCCAGACGCATTTTCTATCCTAAGACACATTGAAGGTACATTTTTTATTTTACCATCCTTCCCATCTACATTTTCTTTGAGTCAAATGTGATTCTCAAGCTTGTTATTTTTTAAAACAATTTAGACAAACGTAGTTTACACAAAGATACTTTACACATCCTATGTTAATATGTATTTATTTTTTCGGCATGAACTCACCGACTGCTGACTAGAGATCAAAAAGATTTTTACTTTTGAAACTGACATGTGAATAAAATTTCTTCAATTGTTCAAATTTTAAAAAACTGATAAATTTTTTGAGACTCTACTAAAATGTATTTTATTACTGTAAAATAATTTTTCCTTTCAATTAGAAATTCAATGAGTGTGAATTAATTTCTCTTTGACGCAGATGTTTACTTGTCTGATGCCTTTTATCTTTGCTTTTCCTCTTTTCTTGTTGAGTGAGGGTAGCAGCTAGGAGACACGCTTTCATATTCTTTCTCATCACCTAGACGAGAAAATACAGAGGTAACTATGGGGTCATGAATTTGTTCTAATCAAGGAAACAAACCACCATTCACAATAATTGTCAAATATTACTGATGACTAAAAAAAAACATTTTCCTTAATGGACAATTTAGTTTTTAAAAAAGCCAGATTTCTGGGATTTGCTATTTTTTGCCTATACATCTTTTTTCTCAATTCATGAATTGAGAAAAAGGACGTGTGAGCAGACAAATTTAGAAAATTCCAGGACTTTTGAACGAGATTTTGGCATATTGTTATATTATTGTTTTTCCAGGACATTTCAAGCCCTGGAAAAGGCCCTGTCACTTTTCCAGGACATGTATAAACCTTGTATAAAATTCCAGCAATAAGAACATTATTTTAGTCTGATGTCATTTCAAAGAAAGAAATGTTACATAAAAATTTTGTCAATTTTCTGGTTAAAATATTTAAATCAATTAAGCTAATTTCAAATTTTATAAGTTAAAAAATTAAAAACAAAAAATAATCCTGAATGTACTTACTTTTTTGATAGATGAATCTTTCAATTCAAAAAGAATACGTTGTCTTTGCTTGGGAGGAAGTTGTGTGAGGACATCTTTTTTTTCTCTACGGATCATCACAGTGTCTAATAATTTCTGTTGTAGTTCATCCAAATTGCTTGCACCACTTGAAAAATATTATTAAAATCAGGAGTTACTTTAGTGTTTTAGAAAAAAAATCTTCAGCAGACATGGTTAAATTTACCCACAATAAGACATAGTGTCAAAAGAATGGTTTTCCCTATGATACTGTCCTTTTAACTACCTTCACTCTTCAGCAATGTTTATTGTTTTTGTTATATTCCATGCTAATAGGAATATGGAATGGACAAACACAGTGGATAAATAGTAACAGGTTTATTGTAGAAACCAGTACAACAAGCAAGGAAGTAATAGTTATGCACACAGTCGTCGCAAGTCAGTACAGTTGTGTGTATGCTGCTATCAGAAGTTCTGCTAGTCTCAAAGATTCCAGTTTGACTCTCCCGTCCACTATCCTCATGGATACTTATAGGTGATTACCATCTACAGTGCTGCCACTCATAGGGGTGACAGGTTATTCCATCACATCAGTTTTAAAAAGTGATGATTAGAATTGGAATAAAACCTAAACACATGATGAAAGTGAATTTATACATTTTTTTTTTGTTCTTGAAAATTAACAACAAAATTATTAAACACTATTAAGTTGTTTAATTACAAGAATAATTTTATATTTACAACATTCTAAAAACCAATACAATTAAAACTAATACAATGCAATATTTATCATTTACCAATTCATAAAGAAATAAATGTGAAAACATTTTTTATTCATAAATTTATAAACTTTTAATAAATAATACCATCGGTTGATGAATATACACAAGTGCAACATGTATTTAAGGACTTGCTTGAAAAGGAACACAACTTGTTGCCAGAAGTCATTAAGAGAAGCTTAAAAGTGACTGTGATCTATGGTAGACTATACATTTCATAATTTATGGTGTTGGAGTAAGTAATTCTTCTTTCAACAGCAGTGAACTCATTTTGAAGCCTCTTTCTGTGTTGCAGAATCAACCCACTTTCAGGTACATAAAATGTATATTTTGTTATCAGTAAAATATCACCATGATTTATCTTCTCAAACTAAAAAGAAATTTAAAAACTTTTAAACAATTATGAACTTTCAAATTTCTAAACTTAAGCAGAATTAATAAACACCATCTTTGTTATTTATGAGAAGTATATTTTCACTAAAATGATCATTTTTGTTAAATTCATTATATTCTAAAAAAAAAAAATAGTGTAACCACTTTCCATATACACATTTCATTAAAAAATCTAATGTAATTCAAATCATTTCTGCAGACATAAAAAATTGTAGATATAAAATTAAAAAGGCCAAATAAGTGAATTAGGAAAAAAATAAAAAAATTTACTTGACTTTTCTGTATCTCTTTTTCCCAAAATACTCATATTTGGCACCACAGAAACGGTTTGTAAATTCCCAGAAGGTTCCAAACATATTAGTATTTAGTGCTTCTAACTGGGGAAAGAGCTGAAATGGAATAAAATCAAGAGAAATATCAGAATTATTTGATTTTCTCAAAGACATTTAAAAATACATTCTTTCTCAAATTGTTCAAATTACTATTTACTTAATGTAAAAAAAATTCTTGCTAAGGCTGAAATTACATGACCAAACAAACTAAAAATGAGCACAAACTTTATAAACAAAGTGAAAATTTTGTTAGTTTTTCCCAATTTTTAAATTTAAGAGAGTTTCTCAAATTAAAAGTTATAATAGACCTTGTTACCCATGATGCCTCATTTTCCAGTATGTATTTGAGGCAACAAACAGCCTGAAAATTGCATTCATGTATAAAACAGTGTCCTCTCTCTCGCTCCAAATTCAATTCCAGTTGAGCACACTTGAGATAAAGTGCGAATTTGTAAATAATGACTACTACTACTAATACTGCAAATCTCTTCTATGAATTGAGCCCTATCAGTCATTGGTGTGTTTATTCAAAGAATAAGTACGTAAAAATCTACCTTCCTCTTTACTGGGCACTGATAGCTCAGGGCTAAAATCTCCAACTGATGCCAAATCAGTTGGGTTTCAATCCCAGCTTGAGGCAATCAGATGTCTAGCCACACTGATGAGCTGTGATACAGCAAAACAGTCTGTTTGTGGATGACTATATATATATATATATATATATATATATATATATATAAAAAGTGAACATAAGTCAACACTTAGAGGCGACAGTCTGTTTCATGCTATATGCAATCGTCAGGCCATATAGCATGAAACAGACTGTCACCTCTAAGTGTTGACTTCATGTTCACTTTTTATATTTACACACACTCTATCTCTGATATTGAGCACTTTATCCCATAAATATAGCACACCTTAAGACTATATTTCTTCATATATATATATATATATATATATATATATATATATATATATAATTTTACCCAGGGTCACAAACTCACATCAATCCAACTATATAAAAAGCTCTATCCTTTAATTGCTTGTCTAAAAGCATTAACTTCCAGGTCAACCATTTCTTTGGTGAAACTCTCTCTCTCTCTCTCTCTCTATATATATATATATATATATATATATATATATATATATATATATATATATATATATATATATATATATATATATATATATATGTATGTATGTGTGTGTGTGTGTGTGTGTGTATGTATTTGTGCAGAGCGTGTGTGCTTTGTATATTCCTTTTCTTGTGTATATAGTTTATTTTAAATACTTTTTAAAAGAACTATTTAATTCACATAAAAATAGCATTACATATATTTGAAAATATAAGAAAATAATCAACATTTAAATACTATTCAGCAATTGCATTTGATAATAAAATTAGTCAGATAAAATTTGCTATTTGAATTCTTAGTAATATTTACAAGGAATAAAAATACCTAATAAATGTTTTACTTTTTTCTCTATTACATTTTATAATAATATTTTATTTTTTTTAAGTTCCTGATTTATTTTAATTTCCCACAATTCAAAATTACATAGCAACTTTTGAAGAAACTCAAACCCATGATACAAGTCATAAACTTCTATCATGAAATTGAGCTTAATCAGCAAAGAATGGATTAATCAGTGCATTTAAAAGCACCAAGAATAATTAAAACTGACCATTACTTGTATTGGTCACATTTTTGTCAGTTTCAGCTGTGATAGATTTTAAGGCCATGCAGTACATCTAAAAATTACATGTGAAACTGACAGTCACCATGCAATGTTAATCCCTATGTCCACATTTTCTATATCTATAAAAACTGTTATTGAGATCAATACTCCATAGTGACTGTCAGTTTCACACCTTGAGTGATTTTCAGATGTGCTGCCTGGCCTTAAAATCAATTACAGCTGAAACTGACACATCATCATGAAGTATTGATTATGTCCACACTATCTCTCTTATATGATATCAACTTATAATTTATTTATTAAACTTATCATTATAATTGTTAGAGGACACAATATTCATGAATAGAAAATAATATAAAAATAAATGCTAAATTTTGATGTTATCCTCATGTAATATCATGCATTGTTTTAAGAAAATTTCACCAATACAAATAATGATTAGTTTTAATTATTCTTGGTGCACTGATAAATCCATTATTTGCCAATTAAGCTAAATTTCATGATAGCAGGCATAAGTTTAGGTTTCTCCAAAAGTTGCTATGTAATTTTGAATTGTGGAAAATTAAATAAAATAAATGGGGGACTTAAAAAAAATAAAATATTATTATAAAATGTATTAGAGGAAAAAGTAATATATTTATTAGGTATTTTTATTCCTTGTAACTATTACTAAAAATTCAAATATCAAATTTTATGACTAATTTTATTATCAAATGCAATTGCTAAATAGTATTTAAATGTTTATTATTTTCTTGTATTTTCAAACACTGTGTAAATGTTTAAAAATTAAATAACACCAAAATAGTTAAAACATTTGTTTAGTAATATTTCAAAATTAGTAAATATGTAAAAATAAAATAAAAATGCCTTAAAAAGATAATATAAGTTCTTTTGATGTTTTTATTAATAATAAATTAATTCAACAATAGACCATATTTTATGTATTGAAATAATTTTGTAATGTTTTTATTAATCATAATAATAAAAATTAATTTAACGTATTAGTTTTAATTATTGAAATATTGTTTTTCTTCAATTAAGTATTTATGTGTTATTTATTCTATGTAAATCTATTTTAATTAAATCCATTAAAATGAAATTAAAATTTGGTATATTTGAACAATTCTGTAAAGTTTTTATCAATAATAATTCAAAATAATTAATGCTGTATTAATAATAGATTAATACAGCAAATTTACTATCATTTTTAAATAATTTGGTAGTTTTAAGATTACAAAAATAGCAAACATATATAACAAAAGGAAAGAAAAATACACTTAAAAAATTATTGTTCTGTGTATAATTTTAATTATGCTTATGTGTGTGTGACCAAATATTTTACATCTTATTTGTTTAAATACAGCCAATATTTTATTGTATCAGTCAGTTGTGTGCCATGTATGATACATGCTTAGGTGATCATGTATCTTTTGACACATGACTGACGAGGCAGATTTTTTTCCCCGCAGTATTGTATTTATTGTATATATTTATGAAAAGAGATCCTCATTTTTTCTTTATTTTTGGTATGCCAACATTTCTTTTGAAAAGCCAGAAGATAATTTAACTTCAAATGAGAAACAACAAAATATTGACCTACCTCAACTGGTCTGGAGAGTGCTGGAGTGCCTGACAACAATATACGTCGATTTGCTGCTTTGATGATTGGAACAATCACTTTACTTGAAACAGATTTGATATTTTTTATGTAGTGGGATTCGTCAGCTATGACAACTTTGAATTTCTGATTAATCAAAGCTTCTAAGACTAAATTACTTGTCTTTTTATTCAAGATGCCGTATGAAACCAAAGTGATCTTTGTTAAATGTAATCCACTGAAAAATAAAATTCAAAATATATACATGTTCCCTAATTTGCTTCTTTAAAACGTCTACTTACAATAAAATCTACAAAAAAAATGCTAAAATTTGTCAATGAGAAATGTTAAAAAATTAATAAAATAACTAACTTTTATTCTAATAAAATAAGAATTATAAAACTAAATTAGAATGATATTTTTCTATGTTTACAACCATATTTTTAAAATAAGAGTAGGAAACGCTGGTCATAATAAAATTGGAGAAGTACAATTTATAGGGTTTGATTGCTAAACAAGGGGTGCATCTTATGTGTGAGTAGAAGCATTTTCCACATTTTCAGCACAATTTTAGCTGTGTGTATTATGTATGAAGGCATATTATACATGGGGAATTATGGTACTTTTAAATTTGTTTTTTATTTACCTTACATCATTTCCAGCTTGTATAAGGTTGATTTCTTTTGGTTGTAATTCAGGTAACCATTTTTCTAATTCTTCAATCCAAGTATATTTCAAAGAGGAAGGAACAATAATAAGAGCTGGCCATTCACTTCGGTAATAGTAGGCCACTGTAATGGCTTGAAGTGTCTTTCCAAGACCCATCTACATGCAAAGAGTAAAAGAATTATAAATATTCAACTAACAATTTCTTTTTTAATCATTTCATCCAAGCAAAGCAATAAAGCCACTAAGATGCAAGGGGCTTACTAAGTGTGAAAAAATATGAGTAAAAGAAAAACATTATTACAGAGAAGGAGTAAGATAATTATTAACATTGCATTTAAATTTTTGAAGCTCAAACAAGAGGTTAGAAAACAGTTTCACAAGTGAAGAATTTGTTAGCATAGAACTTACAGTTACATCTAGAAATTTCAGCTGTAAAATGATGGAACATTTTTTTCTTTTAAAAATCCTATAACATCAAGAAAGGCAATAATGCCACTAAGACACAATGGATTACAGGGAGTGAAAAAGAACCAGAAGATGTTAGTGAGGAGAAAAGATAAAAGAACAGGATTCAGGGAGACAAAAAATGTCAATTGGTGTAGTATTTAAATTTTTGAAGATCGTTGGTGACAGTAAAACAAAAAAAAGTAAAGAGAATTCCACAGGTGTAAGGGTGCTTACCACCAAGTTAAGGTACCAAAGAAGAAAACTCATCAGAACAATTACCATGAAAGTGTTTATAGAAAGGCACAGAGAAGCTACATTATGGTGATGGGAAAGTGACTGAAGCCAAGATGCCAGTTCAAGACTGTAGCATAGAGAAAAGCTCATCACAACAATTACCATGAAAGTATTTATAGAAAAGGCATAGAGAAGCTACGTTATGGTGATGGCAATGTGACTGAAGATGAGGTACTCTGTCAACACTGTAGCAAAGAGGAAAGCTCATCAGAACAATTACCATGAAAGTATTTATAGAAAAGGCATAGACAAGCTGCGTTACAATGATGGGAAAGTGACTGAAGCCAAGATGCCAGTTCAAGACTGTAGCAAAGAGGAAAGCTCATCAGAACAATTACCATGAAAGTATTTATAGAAAAGGCATAGACAAGCTGCGTTACAATGATGGGAAAGTGACTGAAGCCAAGATGCCAGTTCAAGACTGTAGCATAGAGGAAAACTCATCAGAACAATTACCATGAAAGTATTTATAGAAAAGGCACAGAGAAGCTATATTACAGTGATGGGAATGTGACTGAAGATGAGATACTATGTCAACACTGTAGCAAAGTGGAAAGCTCATCAGAACAATTACCGTGAAAGTGTTTATAGAAAGCCACAGGAAGCTACAGTATGGTGATGAGAAAGTGACTGAAGGCAAGATACCAGCTCAAGACTGTAGCATAGAGGAAAGCTCATCAGAACAAATAGCATGAAAGTATTTATAGAAAAGGCACAGAGAAGCTATGTTATGGTGATGGGAAAGTGACTGAAGCCAAGATGTCAGTTCAAGACTGTAGCATAGAGGAAAGATCATCAGAACAATTACCATGAAAGTATTTATAGAAAAGGCACCAAGAAGCTATATTACGGTGATGGGAAAGTGACTGAAGCCGAGATGTCAGGTGAAGACTGTACCAAAGAGGAAAGATCATCAGAACAATTACCATGAAAGTATTTATAGAAAAGGCATAGAGAAGCTACGTTATGGTGATGGCAATGTGACTGAAGATGAGGTACTCTGTCAACACTGTAGCAAAGAGGAAAGCTCATCAGAACAATTACCATGAAAGTATTTATAGAAAAGGCATAGACAAGCTGCGTTACAATGATGGGAAAGTGACTGAAAGCCAAGATGCCAGTTCAAGACTAACAGCAAAGAGGAAAGCTCATCAGAACAATTACCATGAAAGTATTTATAGAAAAGGCATAGACAAGCTGCGTTACAATGATGGGAAAGTGACTGAAGCCAAGATGCCAGTTCAAGACTGTAGCATAGAGGAAAGCTCATCAGAACAATTACCATGAAAGTATTTATAGAAAAGGCACAGAGAAGCTATATTACAGTGATGGGAATGTGACTGAAGATGAGATACTATGTCAACACTGTAGCAAAGTGGAAAGCTCATCAGAACAATTACCGTGAAAGTGTTTATAGAAAGCCACAGGGAAGCTACAGTATGGTGATGAGAAAGTGACTGAAGGCAAGATACCAGCTCAAGACTGTAGCATAGAGGAAAGCTCATCAGAACAAATAGCATGAAAGTATTTATAGAAAAGGCACAGAGAAGCTATGTTATGGTGATGGGAAAGTGACTGAAGCCAAGATGTCAGTTCAAGACTGTAGCATAGAGGAAAGATCATCAGAACAATTACCATGAAAGTATTTATAGAAAAGGCACCAAGAAGCTATATTACGGTGATGGGAAAGTGACTGAAGCCGAGATGTCAGGTGAAGACTGTACCAAAGAGGAAAGATCATCAGAACAATTACCATGAAAGTATTTATAGAAAAGGCACAGAGAAGCTACATTACAGTGATGGGAAAGTGACTGAAGCTGAGATGTCAGGTCAACACTGTAGCAAAGAGGAAAGCTCATCAGAACAATTACCATGAAAGTGTTTATAGATGTCAGAAATTTAATTTCTGTATCTATCTTTCTATCTCTCTTACTTTCCTTCCTCCTCTCCTTTTCCCCCTGCGTGCAGTGTAAGAACTGTTGCTGCTGTGTCATGTGGCGAAATCATGTCTAACAATTGGTCATACGTGATTTTCCCGCTTGTTTTCGACTAGATTAGAGGAATCTAGTCAGTAGTAGCAAAAAAGGGCACAGCAGTCAGCTTGTCTTGCGACGAAAAGAAAGCCTGCTTGAAGATAACCTGTTGTTGCTCTGACAAGGAAAACAGTCATAAAAGACCAGTCCAGAATATTTGTCTAAGAGAATTGAAGATAAAGAACAAGTGTGTGTTTGCCGTGTGGAAAAAGCTTATTCTCTAGACAAGTGAAGTCAAGTCTGTTCCAGTAATCAAGTGGATTATTGTTCAGCAACCAAGGACAAGTCAATAAAGACTTATCAAAAACTCAGTTAAAGAAATTATTGTAAAGAGAATTTACAATAGAGCATTCTCAAGGAAGTCTTCTTTCGACAATCGGGTCGAAGAGAGAAATAAGTCAAAGTCAAGCGTTGAAAAGCTACCTTCCTTCGAGGAGTTCTTTTGTCCTATTGGTGGACAAAATCCTGATGTGAAAAAAGTATGTGAAAAAAAGATCTTCTAAGTCGTCTCTAGAAGTTGAATTTGTGTCGCAGAGAAAGTTTGAAAAAACAAGTCTGCATTTATTTTTAACAGGAAGCTTGCTTATCTTCCAAGGAGAGCAACTCAAAAAATATCTAAAAACCTTTCTGCCCACTACTTAAAAAAAATACTAAAGCTTTTTTTTTTAACAGTAAATCTAATTTTCCTCCTCTTTCTGCTATCTCTCTACCTCTTTCACTCTCTCTGAACTGTTATTGGAGTCCTTTTAAAAGGGCTCCGCCAAAGGGATGTTTTGGCAGTTATTTTTCAAGTTGTACCAGTGAACTTTAACATCAGACTATTTTTTTTTTTTTTTCCCCTCATTTTATTTATTTTCTTTTCCCTCAATAAATTTTATAGCTATTTCAAGTGGTTTTTCCTTCTTCTTTATCTCGCTTGTTATGGTTGTATATTGATGGTTTCAGGTCTCTGTTAACTGTGTTACGCGGGATTCATGTCATTGGACATAATGACAAAGTTTCCCAACCTTTTTTGTGCCGAGTTTGGCTGTTACTAAGCTAAATTTCGACATAGAAAGCCACAGGGAAGCTACAGTATGGTGATGATAAAGTGACTGAAGCCAAGATACCAGCTCAAGACTGTAGCAAAGAGGAAAGCTCATCAGAACAATTACCATGAAAGTGTTTATAGAAAAGGCAGAGAGAAGCTACATTATGGTGATGGGAAAGTGACTGAAGCCGAGATGCCAGGTCAACACTGTAGCAAAGAGGAAAGCTCATCAGAACAATTACCATGAAATTATTTATAGAAAAGTCACAGAGAAGCTACATTATGGTGATGGGAAAGTGAGTGAAGCCGAGATGCCAGGTCAAGACTGTAGCAAAGAGGAAAGCTCATCAGAACAATTACCATGAAAGTATTTATAGAAAAGGCACAGAGAAGCTACATTACAGTGATGGGAAAGTGACTGAAGCTGAGATGCCATAATAATGATCTACTTAGACATACAGTTATGACGTTGCAGTAAAAAAAATGAAAACTGAAGAAAAAATTAATAAAACATTATTAACAACAGAGAACAAGAAAAGTACAAGAATAAAAAGACAGAATTACAATTAAATTTTTGAAGATCAAAGTTGACAGGGATGGAAGAAGCTGAAAGAGATTTCTACAAGTGAGAAATGCAGAATAAACTGTTAGCATAGAACTTATAGTTACATCTAGCTATTTCAACTATAAAATGATGAGACCTTGCCACCACTCTAGTACTGCACTTAAATTCATAAAGTCTAGGTACCAAAGTGGGAATCTCATCACAACAATTACCATGAAAGTATTTATAGAAATGCCACAGAGGAGTTACATTACGGTGATGGGAAAGTGACTGAAGCTGAGATGCCAGGTCAAGACTCTACGAAAGAGGAAATCTCCTCACAGCAATTACCATGAAAGTATTTATAGAAAAGGTGCAGAGAATCTATGTTACTGTGATGGGAAAGTGACTGAAGCCGAGATGCCAGGTGAAGACTGTACCAAAGAGGAAAGCTCATCAGAACAATTACCATGAAAGTATTGAAAAGGCAAAGAGAAGCTACATTATGGTGATGTTAAAATGACTGAAGCTGAGATGCCAGGTCAAGACTCTACCAAATAGGAATGCTCATCAGAACAATTACCATGAAAATATTTATAGAAAAGGTACAGAGAAGCTATATTACAGTGATGGGAATGTGACCGAAACCAAATACATGAACCTGAATACATTAAAAAAAAAAGCATCATAAAGAAAGCAATCAAATAACAATAACTATATTAATATTTTTTTTCATAAAAACCATCCAGGGAAAAAGTCATAATAATGACCTACTTAGACATACATGTATGGCTTTATAGATAAAAAA